CTCCTTCCCTCCCTCCTCCTTCCCTTCCTTTCTTCCCTCCCTGTCTGCCACTCCTGTGCTTTCTGTCTCTCTCTAAATAAATAAAAGGGAAAAAGAAACCCACATAAAGTTTAAAATTTTATTCAGGGAGTGTAACAGGTGAACAAATGGGAGTATAATGCATGGACTTGAGGAAAGGTCAGGATACTAAGAATTGCCAGAGGTGCTGAGATTTGAAGGCAATATTAAAGCATCACATATTCAAGGTATTAGCAATTGAGTGCCTGTGTTTAAAGTGCTTAGAAATGTGCCTGGCATGTAGTAAGACTCTTAAGTATTACCTATTATTTATTTTAAGCTATTCACCTGTAAGTTTTTAGAACCAGTATTTCTAAACCATTGAGCCATCAGAGTAGCTGGGGCCTGCAGCTAGATGTGCAGATTTTTGGTCCCTCCCCAAAACTGCTGTATCTGAAATACTGCAGGTAGAGCTATGCAGCCTGTGTTTTAACAAACTCTCCAGGAATTCTGATGTACAGAGAAGTTTGAGAACCACCATTTTTGAGGTTCTACCAGGTATAAAACCAAAATAGTGATGACAGTTGAGGTCTTTAGGACGCGGCATTACTGTGAAGTAGAGATAAAAAAAAAAAAAAAAAAGCTATCAGATAAGTGACTTGCGCACAAATAGGAACACCAGAATTTGCGTTCCTTCCCTCTTTTTAAAAACGTCTTTCACATAAAATAGTTCTTTGAGAAATAGTTGGTCATAATACTGAATAAGACAGGTTTTAGAGAAATGAGCTGACACTATTTCAAAAGCCTTCTTCTCATTTAGCAGTCATTTCTTATCTAATTATTGTCAGGCACAGCTCTGGTCATAGGGTAACTCTTAGTATGTTAGGGAAATCAAACTCTGAGTATATCGATTATGATACGGTGTTTTAGGTGCTAGAATAGAAATAGCCTTTTTCACTCCATGCTCAGATCAAGGAGCTCGTAAGGTTGAAATAGCCTTTTTCTCTCCATGCTCACAAGGTTGAGTTCCATCTGGGTCTTAAGGTATAATGGGCAGTTGCCAAGTGAGGATAGGTTTGGGGTGAGGGTGTTCCATGTATTTGTTGATATTAGTGCTATAAAAGCTACTGTTTTCATTTTTTGCCTAAGTGAAGACACACTTTTCTTTTGCTCCAAAAAAAAAAATCTCAAATCCATCTTTATATTATAGCTTTTATTACTCTGTTTTTTCTGTTACATGGATTGGTTGGTTAATAGGCCTCTCAAAAGCAGCTCATGCCCCCAGGGAATCAGTATCATAGAAAAAAATTACTGTTTTGGAAATGCCTGTTGCCTAGTTATACTGTCAATATTTCAAAACATAAACTTATTTCAGAGGTTCCCAAAGTTTGTTTTTTGGTCCCCTTAATACTTTGAGTAACTTTTTTCATGGCACCTCTAAGCCAAGAGAAATTCTTTACAGATGTATTAACTGGTTTTGTGCAGACAACTTAGTAAACATGTATGTCCTAACATCTTGGTTGCTTTAAAAAAATAACAAATTGAAAGAAAAAATTTTTATTTCCTTTGAATATAATCATGATTACTGACGGGATATCAATGCCTGTCCTTGTCAAGCCATGGAGTCAGAATGAATGCCACCAACTCTCTTTTCTAGTTCCATATTGTCTCTCGTACAATGCTTGGGGTTTTTTCACAGCAACCACAGAAAGCACTGCTTTGCAGAGATGTGCCATTAGAAAGAGCATATGGTCTAATTGTAGCCCGGAGTGGAGGGGGCTGCAAGAGCACCTGGTTCCAGGGGTCCCGAACAGACCAGGTTTGGCCACTTGCCACAAATCAAATCCAAAGGCAGGGAGAAACAAGACAATTTATTTCAGTGAGTCCGACACTAGGGTGAGAGTAGACTGAAGTCTCAAAGCCTGTCCAGAGTGCCGAAAATACCAGGTTTATATAAGGATAATGTGGGAAAAACATGTTTGAATGCAAACGGGTGGGCACTGAAGGTCAAGTTGATCATTGTCTTGGAGTCAGTCACATGGGGTCTTGTGGCTCAGGACAGTGCTCATTGCTTAAGGGAGTAGTTTCTGTTTCCTTCAGGGGATACTTTGCCCACAGGGTCTTTTGCCTGACTTAAGAGATAAGCTGGAAAGGAGAACTTAATCAGTTGGAAAGTACAGCCTAAAGTAAAAATGGAGGTAGTTGACATTCTCTTTCATAATGTTGCAATTTTGAATTACCTTTATTTACTAAGTTGAATATCATTGGGTTTCCCTCAAATTGAAAATACTGTGTGGGGCCCCAGGATATTTCCTGGGAATCATAGGTTTATTTGATAAAATACACAGGTGGGGTTCACTTCTATTTTGTCTGGGTCACCAAGCTGTCAGTAGTATATCTTTCTTTTTCTGTTCTTCATTCACTTAGGCTGCACTGGTGTGAGTGATTGCTGCCTAATAGCCTGAAGGCACCAGCTTTTTTCACTGCCTTAGGTGGCACTTTCCTTTTTTTAAGTTCTATTTATTTTTTTGTGATCTCTACATTGAACATGGGGCTTGAACTCAGAACCCCGACATCAAGTCTCATGCTCTTCCGACAGCCAGTCAGGTGCCCCGGCGCCTTCATTTACTATTCACTGTGTGCCCATTTTTAGAAGTACCTACCTGTGCTCTTAGCTTATGCTTCCTGTTGCCCTGTGGGGCTTGGCCACGAATTGTTTCTCAATGGCATGTGTTTGCACACTAAACTGCCCAGATGGTAGTCCTGAAGGAAGTTCTATTTAAGTGATTAAGTAATCACTATTTCTCTAGAAGCTATACTTGGTTAATATTCAAGAAATATGAGAGTGCAATATTTATGGGGGGGGAGTATTTATATTGCTGTAGAAATGTGTTTAAAAAAGGTGTGTTGAAAACATGAATGTCATACTATTCATAAATTTATTCATAAAAAGTTTGTTGATAAATTGCTGTGTGTTATATATAGCCCTGGCCCTTGTGGATTCACATTTTATATGCCTGCCTATATAGGAGCACATCTCCTATCCAGGGGACAGTTTAAATTTGGTGCGAGATGTAAATTTTGCTTTAGTAGGTGAATACAAGGCAGTCAGGGAGTCCTGAGTGGGAGTAGCCCCGGGGAGTAAAGGAGTCAGGCCTGAGTTAGTGAACTGAAGGAACAGGAGGAAAGATTCTTCCATGCAGAGTTGTGGAAGAGCATAGTATACTTAGGGAACTTGAAATAGCAGATGAAAGCTTAGAATGCATGGAAGAATGTAGTTGAAGATGAGGATAGAGAGAGAAATAGGATTTCCATAGCCTGTGGAGTTTTTTATTTATCCTGAAAACTTGGGAAGCCTTTGAGGGATTTGAAATGAGTAACACGATCAGTTTTGTACTTTGGAAAGGTACACCTAGATTCAGGGTAAGGCGTATTGGAAGGGGAAAGAACACTGTAAAACTGGAACCAGATAAGTGAGGGACTCCTGACTCCTGCATTGACGTAGGTGAGAGGCTCAAGGGCCCGAAATAAGGTCGTGGCAGTAATGTGGGGATGGAGGGAGGAAAGCGGCAGACTCCCCAGGATAGTTTGCTAATTGGATGTGATCATATGAGGGAGAAGGAGTGGTGAGGGACCGCCCTCAAACCTGGCTGGAAATACTGGCAGAAATGTTGTTGACCAAACATGGACCGAAGAGGAGGAATGGGCTATGCAAAGAAAGTTGTGCGTTAAGTGCAGAAGCTTGAGTGTCCTCTGGCCTCATCAGTAAGCAGTTGAATGTATAGTCTCAAGCCCAGAAAGTAGAAAATAGACTCACTAGTTATCGGCATAGACTTGATAAGGTAAAGATGAGTGAGAGGGAAGAAAAGACACCAAGGGTGCCAGCTTACACAAGATCAAAAAAAAAAAAAACCACAGAGATGTAAGGTAGTGGATGAGTGAGGAACCAGAGAAGAGGGATCTGTTGGAAGAAGAATCTCAGAGTAATCCTTTCTCTACTTTGTACGTTCTAGGTTTTTGAAATAAATATCTGACTAGTAATTTCACTAACAGTTTCCTAACGGGATATTATCGTTACAGCCACAGCATCCATTCTCCCCTTCGTCTGTCGTATAGGAGCCATCGTTTGAGTGGCAGACCCCCCCTGCTCCTGGTGATTCCTGATTAGGTCTGTGCTGCTCATAGGGAACTGCTGTCCCTCTGCAGCGATTGGGTTTGAGTTTGGCTCAAGGAAGGCATTCTGTGGATGAGAGGGGTTGGTTCAGGACAGGGCAGAGGATTCAGATGCCAGAGGAAGTTTTCTGGAAACCTCAGGGGGGAATTTGTCTTGTTTTTAATAAAGCGCTATTCTTCTGTATGTCAGTAAACCCGGACAGAAGGCCTTAGACTTGCTGCAGCTCTGTTGGCTACCAGCCTGACAATGAAGCTGACAGGAGGGCACAGCTGAGAAAAGTGTAGAGGAATTTTGTGGAAGCCCTGAGTACACTGAACACCTTGCCCCTGGGCCTTACTGTGTAAGCCATTTTTCGTTTTCAGCTATAATTTTATTTTCAGAGAAGGAACATGTGATGGGAGTGCATGAATGATGGATGCGAATAGCACACACACCCTAAGGTGACGATGTAGCCAGCTCCAATGTCACATGGGAGCTCTGCAGTGTAGTTTTCAAGGCCCTAAAATCTCTGCCGGTAGTTTTGGGGAGGAAGTCAGGAAGTAGGTAGGGTATGATTTTAGAATTGTAAAGTATCATGGGGTGCCTGGGTGGCTCAGTCCGTTGAGCATCCAACCTTGGCTCAAGTCATGATCTCGCGGTTCGTGGGTTCAAGTTCTGAGTCAGGTTCTGGGCTGACAGCTCCAAGCCTGGAGCCTGCTTCAGATTCTGTGTCTCCCTCTCTCTGCCCCTCCCCCACTCATGTGCGCGCACGCGCGCTCTCTCTCTTGTCTCTCTGTCAAAAATAATAAACTTAAAAAAAAAGAGTAAAGTATCAGGAGGAGGACAAAAGTTCTGGTGGAAATCAGAAAAGGAATTGTTTATTCATTCTCGTGTCACATAGTTTTTACTAGTAAACAAGACTTAGGTTTTTGTGTTAAGTTGTAAAGGTAGGAGAAAATTCACTTACTTTAGGGGCGCCTGGGTGGCGCAGTCGGTTAAGCGTCCGACTTCAGCCAGGTCACGATCTCGTGGTCCGTGAGTTCGAGCCCCGCGTCAGGCTCTGGGCTGATGGCTCAGAGCCTGGAGCCTGTTTCTGATTCTGTGTCTCCCTCTCTCTCTGCCCCTCCCCCGTTCATGCTCTGTCTCTCTCTGTCCCAAAAATAAATATATGTTGAAAAAAAAATTAAAAACAAAACAAAACAAAAAAAAACTTACTTTAAAAAAACTGTTGAGGAAAATTACCACATGTACACAGAAACAGGGAAGAGAACCGCCTCTCCCAGGTATGTAGCACCCAGCTTCACTAGCTGTGGATGGGGGCCCCATCCTGTGTCACCTGTGACCCTCTCGCCTCAGCTGGAAAACTTAAAGCAAGTTCATCCCACACTATTTCAGTATGTGGCACCTGGCTGTCTCTGTCAGTAGAGCACGTGACTCTTGATGACCAGGTCATTGAGATCGAGCCCCACATTGGGTGTAGAGGTTAAAAATCTTCGAAAAAATTTTCAATATGTGTGTCTAAGATTAAACTGCTTTAAGGAGGCATCAGTAACATTCAGTAAATGTGAAGAGACATTATTCCTTGTCTCCTTCCTTGACCTTATGCAGAATAACAGTATTTCAAGGATAGCAACAATTATTCAAAAGGTTGACACTCTTAATAGAGTTCCCTATAAAGAATAGAGTACGTTTCCAGGAAAAACGATGACTCTGCTACTGACAGCAGTTAATACGTATAAGAGTGAGTGCACCATTTCCTGTTTTTCTTTGCAGAGGCCCAACTGTGGAGTTCCCCTTGTTTACCCATGAGTTAAATCTTGTCTCTGTCTTACCACAGAGGTGTCCTACTCCTTAAATGTCCACAGTGACTAAAAAATAATACATTTTTGTATTTTGAAATAAATTATATTTGGAATCTAGGTTTTCGATTTATTGATAATGTTAGAACACAGATCCAAAGAACATTGCAGTCTGTGTGTGCATCTATCCTTCCTTCCTTCTCTGGAACCTACCACCTTGATCATTATTTTTCTCTACTTCCAGTCTCTTTTACTGCATCTTATCAGAAATTAAGCATAAATCCAGTCTTTCTCATCTTAAATGGAAAAACGGATTTTTTCCTTCGGCTGCAGCCTGCCCTCTTGTCCCTGTCCTAGGCTTGTCCAGTTGTTTGTGTCTGACCGCTCTGTTTCCTGACTCCTGCACACTTTTCTGCCCCCTCAGTGGTCTTCCATTCTTAGCCCTCACGAAGGTGCTCACTGCATGTTGCTGAATCTGAATATGCAGATATATTCCAGCCTTGACCTGACCTCTCCCCAGCTTTCCACTGGTTGCCTCATCACTCCATGACACCTAGAAGAGGACGCACCTGATTTTCCTCCTCCTTTTCAGGCATTTTCTTTGTAGTGTCCTTTGAGGGATTTTTTTTTCTCTGTCCAACTTTAGGATTCCTCTGTGCACTTGTCTTCCTCAGAAGTCCCCTTAACTTGTACACCTTTATTCTGCTGGTGAGGGGTGCCTTGGTGGCTCAGTCAGGTAAGCGTCCAACTTTGGCTCAGGTCATGATCTCATGGTTTGTGGGTTCGAGCCCCATGTCGGGCTCTGTGCTGACAGCTCAGAGCCTGGAGCCTCCTTCGGATTCTGTGTCTCCCTCTCTGCTCCTTCCCTGATGGCTGTCTCAAAAGTAAATTTTAAAAAAATTTATTGTACTGAGTGGTGAGACTTAATTTCTTATCTCTAGTTTAGCCTCTTTCAGAATCCTATATCCGTGTATCCAACTTGCCCTCTTGGTAACTTCACTTGCAAGTCTCACAGATAACTCAAATTCAGTGTGTGTTAAACTCTTTCATGTTCTTCCTAAAGTCTGGCCCTCTTCCAGTATTCTCTGACCCTGTGAATTGTGCACATTGTTCTCAGATATTCTTAACTTCTGGCTCTCCCTTCTCAAATCCAGTTAGCAACCAAATGCTGTTGATCTTGCCCCCTAAATACCTTTTAAATCCAGCCAGTTCTTTCCCCTTCACCTGCTGTCAGCTAAATCCAAGTCCTCTCTTTCCACCAACATTACTGCAATAACTTCTCCTTTGGCCCCTCCAGCCTCCCTGCCAGCTGCAGATATCACAAAGTGGCTTTTAAAACCAACCTGTCATGTCATCAGGGAAGGAAGGACTGAAAGCTTCAACGTCTGTACCTTAAATCAGTATCGGATTACACTGCATGAAGAAACATTCCAGTATGTAAGGGAAAGCCAGACTCTGAACTCAGTACTCACTGTTCTCAGATTTACAAATTAGTTATTTGTTCTTTGCATTTCATTAAGAGAATAGTCTCTGTTGAACATCCTCCCTCAAAATTCAGAATGTTTTAGTCTTAGAATTTGATTCACAAGCTGATCCATTTGTTAATTCCTTTCAGGAGACCTTTCTGGAAAGGGTTGGGTGATGGCCTGAGTGCTGACTCTTCTTCCAACATCTTCCTGCAGTAATCCGTTTGTTAGAATGAATCACTTCATGTGAAGTTATGGGCCAAGTGTAGCCTTGTGCTAAGACAAACACAGCTTCCAGGGGCAATGATGAAGATCGAGCTTGAGAAGTTGCTCCTGTGTGTTCACAGGGCAAGGGTGGTCAAGACTGCCAGTGGCCTGAAGTAGATCTTTCTTTCTGAAATATGCCTGTCACTTGTCTGCCTAAGAGGGCCCTCTGGCTGAGCTGAGTGGCACCCTCTGCTGTCATGAGCTGTTGCACCTGCAAGCTGGTTGCACAAGCCCTTAGGAGGAAAAGTCTGCAGGTCTGCAAATGCCATTATCCCATGGAACTTAACTGCTATCCTTTTTCTTCACCTGGAGCCATCCACCCTTTCCTGCTTTGTGGAGGGTGCCAGGAAGCTAGAAGTCTTTTCTATAAGTCAAGGGGTTTACTGGGGAAGAAGCCCCAACAATTTGTCTTGCCTGGGTACTGAGAAAATTCTTGTCTTCTGCTGGCAGACATAAATTATTTGGTTGTGCCTGGACAAACAACTTTCTCACACAAATTCACTGGAATGTAACAGGGTAGCCAAGATGAAAAAAGCTGCAAGACTATCATTAGCTTCTTCTTTCCCTACATGAATCCTAGAAAAGAGAAGATAGCATCACTTCCTAAGGCTCGTTTATGGTATGTTATCCCAGATGAGAATAGTGTGAAGGGAAGTACGTTAAATGGGATGATAGAAATAGATAAACTAGGAGTCTGGGGAAAAGATGGAAAACAGAGTGGGAAGGATGGTGCATTGCTGATACACGGCTCCCCGATGAAAAGATGCTGTGGGTGTCAAGTCTGATGGAGGGGTCGGCAGTCTGAGGCTCCTTTAGGACACCTGAAGTAGGAACATATAATAAAAAGCAGGAAATCTCTGCCTTTGTGCTGACAGAAAATTGAAGAATGTGATACCTTCCCTTGGTTTTCTGATAACATGAAAATTTTCTGTAATCCTAGGAAGCAGGGCCCCAAAAGAATGATTGATTGAATTTATCAACCCTTCAAAAAAGGACTTGAAGTAACTAAATGGGGCTTCAAGTACACGAATGAGAATGTTTTGCTCCGAGTTTTACAGACTGTAATCCATACAGTCAAGCATTTTGAGAGGGAAAAATGAAAACCTATAATACAAAGTCTCAGAAAATACTGCAGTGATGTCCTCTCATAACAAAGCTTCTGAAAAGATAACCATAAATGAGAAATAATATCTACTAAAAAAATGGTCTAGAACTGGGATCATCCAACTACTGCTTATGGTCCAAATTGGGCCTGGTACTTGTTTGTTTAAATAAATGCTCACTGGAACACAGCTCCACTTAATATGTTTATGCATCGTCTGTAGCTGCTTTTATGCCAAAAGGACCAGAGTGGAATTGAAGCTATGACAGACTGAATGGCTTACTTACTATCTTGGCCTATAGGAAAAAATTAGTGGATTCCCAAAGAGAATCGAGTAAAGTTACTTTCCAGTACAGTAAAACTATAAAGAGAAATAAAAATAATGGATGAAAATACACACAATCCACTGTGCACATAACAGGAACTACAGACATTACAAAAAGGAACACAAGGTGCATTATTAAAAAACATAATAGAAGAAAACTTTCCCAAGAGACAGTAAAACTTATGTTCAGATAGACAAGGACCACCACCTGCCATATAGAACCCTGGATGGAAAAAACCAATGAACTTGGAGGTAGTCCAGTGTCACTGTTGAACTGTGAGGATGAACATAAGTATTTCCAGGGAAAAGCTCAAGCTTCTTTTGGGATTCTAAACAGTAGCAGTAAAAACTAGAGGACAGTAAAAACAATCTTTGGTGGCTCCTAAAATTAATGCATGAACCCTCCATTTGTGTGGCTTTGTAGAAAATAAATTTTTAATCATGAGGGGCTGTTGCTTGAGTCTGTCTTGTTTTTAGGATTTATCAGGATTCTAGCAACCTTTCAGTAGATGTAGATACACTCCAATTTCTAGAATATATTAGATCCCAGTTATATAAGGGGTTCATGGAAAATTTGGGACTGATTTAAGATAACCTTGGTGTCTGGAACGATCTCATGATTCTCATGATCTCACGATCAGTAAAACAGTTACCCTGGAAATACCTCTCAGTGGGTGAATGGGCGTATTGGTGAGGGAAGGATTGTAGCTGGTAGCACAAGTTACTGGGAAATAGGATTCTGTACCTCTGTCAGAGGTGGTTGTCAGAAATTAGGACTTACTAAGGCCCAGCCTAGTATGAGTTTGGATGGGCTTTCATTCCCAGTCAGTGCAGACCTGAAAAGAGTGAACAGGCTAGGACCAGATCTCCTCCAGACGGAGCAGCTGATTTATTTCAGTGTGGAAGAGTTTTTGGGTGTAATCTAAGTAATAATAACCATCAAAATAACATCAGTTAACCATGAAAGCTAGAAAGTGATGTTAAAAATCAGAGTGTTGTACTCAAATCACACTGTATTCTTTGCTAACAATAGTGGCGACTGATGATAATTTTACATTTGTCTTATTTTTTTTAAACAATGAAACCTAAATGGTTATTATGCAAACAAGCCAGTGGCTAAAGCTATGCCAAAAAATCTATTTTAAATTCTGAATAATAATATGTTGTTTTGCTTTACGGGTCGCGTGTGTGTGCACACGTGCGCATGTATCTCTCTTGGGATTTCATCATATGAGGTAATTGTGGTAGTCCAAGATTTCGGGATCCTGGTGTCTTGGGCAAATTTTATTATGTTATTAAAATCATCTGTAGTATATAAATCGATCAGAGTAAGTTTGTTGCTAATAAAATCATCTCTCAATACATTATTCCCTATATTGTAGAAAAGGCGCCGGCGGATTGACCGAAGTATGATTGGAGAACCAACAAATTTTGTGCACACAGCTCATGTAGGATCAGGAGACCTGTTCAGTGGAATGAATTCCGTAAGTGTTTTGATGGAAGATACAGATGGGGTCTTGGGGCATAGACCTGTGTCATCTGTATGAAAGGTACATACATTCTTAATGGTGATACAATGCTCATTGAATGTGTAGGCACTGAATATAAATACATAACCTGAGTATATAGAGAAGAAAATAAGTAGTGAAAATTTAATCTCTTCCCTAACTTGCCAAACTATGCATTTGCTTCTGCCTTTCTCCTGAAACAATACTTTAAAGGACTTGAACACCAGCCTTTTAGTAACATTAATCTTTCTGTTCTCTTAAATTTACTTAGTTGCCTTTTGCAGACCTGTTTATCACTTTTACCTTATAAAATATTAGCCTTTACTTGATACTAGAATGTGGTTTATTCATCACTGAAATGTAAATAACTTGGATACTAAGCAGAGGATTAAAATTTGTGCATAATTGCTCTTATTTATAGAGATTTCAGTGTATTTCAGAATAGACTTTAGATTTATTCACTTGAACTTGTATATTCCTTAATTTTCATCCAAGAGGGAAAACAGTGCACTAGAATAGAAGCAGCACCAAATGAGGGTTTGTCAGGGCTCTGGCTCATTATTGCCCTGATATAATAAGCCACTAAGTATCAGGAGCCTCTTTGCCCCAAATCTAAAGTAAACTAATATACCTAAATGGTCTCTGAAGTGTTTAGAACCAGAAAATTAGTAAGACTTTTATAGGTAGAGAATTGCCCGTTGTCTGCTTACTTGGCAGAATTAACAAAAGACTTTACAAGAGAGCAGAGACTTTTAAAATAGGTAGATGGTTATCCTGGATACAGCAAACAAGTTTGTCACATCAGTTACTAGGTAAGCAAAGGAATAACATTTGTAGCTTCCTGGAAAGGAAACAGCTTGTTTGTTTTAAATCTGTAGGAAAAGTACTTTGTTTTGCTCAACTGCTTTTGTGGAGTTGTTAGAGGTGTCAGGTTGCTATCAAAATACAAATTCAGTAGCTTTGTTTCCTGGATCAGCATGAAATAATAACCAAATGGGAACCTAGGATTTTTCTTTAGAGGGTTATTTTAATACATATAAATAGATTGAATGGCTTCAAATTTTGATGAAATTTTTTTTTTAATGTTTATTATTTTTTAGAGACACAATGCAAGCAGGGGAGAGTTAGAGAGAGAGGGCAACAGAGGATCCAATGCAGGCTCCACACGGTCAGCACAGAGCCTGATGGCTGGGCTCAGACTCGCTGAAGTCAGATGCTTAACTGACTGAGCCACCCAGGCGCCCCAAATTTTAATTTCTTAATAAATGTCTTCCCCAGTTCAGGTTTTTAAAATTCATTTTAATTTAAAATGAATTAAATTTTTAGTTCATGGTATTTAACTTTTTAAATCTTGTTTATGTACATTTCACAATTTCCTTTAAGATTCCTATTCATCATTTTGTCTCTACAAGGAGCCTATCATTGATGTTGGTGACTATTGTTGCCGTTGATTTAGGTAGAACTTCAGGAAGGACTCTTGAAGGGGTGTCTACTTCTGCTTCACCTGAAGGACCTGGGTCAAGACAGGCCCTTGGCTGTCTCCAGGCAGCTTTCTCTGCTAAGGGATGGGATTTTTTAAAAAGTGTCATAGTTCATTAGAACCAAATATGTCTCCCAAAGGCTTTTTGTACTTACTGCCGACATTAGTTTTTTGTTTGTACAGTGACAAACAGCTTCTGACTCCTATTGGGCATGGGCTTGGTTTTTTAGTCAGTTCTGTCATGCCATTGCTGAGTTTCCTGAAAGTCTCATTGATAGATAAAACTTGTCTGAGGCTGATATGGTGAGAGAATTTTGCTCTTACGTGCAGTAATAGTATAAGTGAGACAAAAGCATAAATGTTGTTTATCCAAAGAAATAGTTTGCCTTGTTAGTTTGTCCTAGACTGAGCAGCATGTGTTAGGTACATGGCTTGATGCACATGAAACAGCTGTGCAATACGGGATTATTGAATGGTCAGATGACTTGGAATTTGTTTTCTCCTAAATAAACTGTTCTTCCCAAGATAATCTTTTATACTAAATTTTTGCTAGAAAAGGAGTCCATGACTGTTTTAATAATGTAGACTTACTGTGTTAAAATACAGACACAGTCAAAATAATACCTTAGAAAACCTAAATCCTGTGGTTTGAAATTGAACAATTGAGTTTTGGAGGAAAACCAGTTTCTTTTCTTGGTTAGAATTAGCATGACATTATGAATCCACTATGTAAAAATACAAAGATCGTATTTTTTTTTTTTTCTAAATAGGCCCTAAAATATCTAGAAAAAGTAACATGTTAGGTGGGAAATTATTTGGTAGGTAAAATCAACTTTGTACCACAAAAAAGGAGCAGAAAATGAATTTTAACTGTAGCATATGGACTGTACTGTGGCCTTCTCAGACTGGGGAGGTTTATTGAAAATAAATTGGCCTATAGATTTCAGGTTTTTGTTTTTTTTTTAATAAAGTAGTCATTTTAAATAATGTGAAAACAGATACAACATGTGATACCACTAGAAGAACATGTTCAACGTGAGTAAAATTTTCAGTAGATGGGTAAAAATTACCCATTTGAGAACCAGTTACATTTTCTTACTTAAACCCTTTTGGATTCTAAATAACTTATGCGTTTTATATTTTGCTTTTCTGTTAGAATATATTTAAAACTGCCTTGCTCAGAAAATAGGCAAGTCTTTACTATTTTCTTTAAACCTACTGACTCAGCATCACCAGTGAAAACACCACACAAGTCATGTTTTTTATTAAGTGCTTACTAAGTATTTGATAAGTAGATTAATAATGGATGTTGTCTGTCGTGTCCCCTCCCTGGGGAACCATGGAAGTGTCAACTGGCTGGCTGAGCTGATTGCCAGGGCTCTCTGACTCTTCACAGTTAGGTCAACACCTCTGAAACTTTCTTACCTCTCCTTTTTCTAGCATTCTAGCCTGATTCTCTCATTCACTGCTTCCAGTGGGGTATGAAGTAAGATTGGAATAATGGATGATACACTTAGGGTACTTCACAACTTGCCAGTAAGTTTATGCACCTTTGTTTTAGCCCAGTAAGAGAGAAAATACCGCACCATTTATGTATCTCATACATCAGAAAATAGCCCTTTTGGGTGGTTAGGACAGATTATCATGTTGACTCTTTTACAGATAGGAAGACTTACCTTTAGAGAGAATAAATACTTCACCCAGAGTTAACCATATTAATGAATACATTTGGACTACCATCCAAGTCTTTGGATGCCTAACTTTAACACTATCAAGTATGTAAATTCTATCACATAGAACTTTAAAAATTGATCTTTGGTCCAATTTCATTCATAATTATTTTTGTCTCCAATGGATGTGGTTCCATACGTGAGGTGTCTGTATACTTTAAGTTGAGTTGATCTGTATACTTTAGACTGTTTTCGAAGTGTTACCAAGTACATTGTGAATTACAGAACAGGGATTTTGTCACTGGTAAATGGGGAGAGAAAGAGGCGGCCCAGCAAGTGGTTTTCTAGCCTCCTCAACTTGCCTCAGGGCAATCAGACAAATTTAAGTCTAGGGGCGCCTGGGTGGCTCAGTTGGTTGAGCGTCCAACTTTGACTCAGGTCATGATCTCACTGGTTTTGAGTTCAAGCCTAGCATTGGGCTCTGTGCTGACAGCTCAGAGCATGGAGCCTGCTTCAGATTCTGTGTCTTCCTCTCTCTCTGTCCCTCCCCTGCTCGCGATCTCTCTCAAAAATAAAAATATTAAAATAAAAATTTAAGTCTATAAAAATGGAATTTTTTTCTATAAAAAGTATGCTTTCCACAACTGCTCAGCTGGAATGTTGAGACCAGCATCTGCTGCGTCGTCCCTAGTTGCTGACTTGGTTCTGTTTCTGTCTTGTTCTAGGTTAGCTCCATCCAGAACCAGATGCAGTCCAAGGGGGGCTATGGGGGTGGCATGGCCGCCAGTGCACAGATGCAGCTTGTGGACACGAAGGCTGGATAGCCCCGCGTCCCTTCTCCAGTGAGTACCCAGCTCCCATACGCCAACAGCATAGCTTGTGAGGGCTTGGAGTTAAGTGAATTACTGAAAAAGGGCAAACATCTGTTACTCTGTTGAGTGTTTCTAGTGATTGTTGTAGGCACTTTGAGTATCAGTTTTAGGTTGCTCTTCTCAAATGCTTTAAGACATCCAGTTGGGAAGGAGGCTTTGACAGATTGTGTCCCTTAAACAAAAGTGAAATTACTGATTTGAGTATTGATACTGTGGGGAATGCCATATATCATGAAGTACCTTTATATTTTACACAGCGTTATTAATATATTTTTCATGATAAACTTTGAAAGAGTTGTCTAGTTTAATTTGTAAAGGATGAATCCTTAAAGTGTAAAAATAATTTGGATTTTTCTTTTGGTTTTATAGGTCATTGTGAATTTCTGTGTTTTCTCTTTTCACTCTTCTTTAATTTTGTTGTTGTGATTCCTTTTCAAATACAAAAAGAAGTGTGATGGCATCTTGTTCACCCTGTTGTGATTTCTCCAGTGAGATGTTCTTGTTCTGCTCTGAAGAAGCTGTTGTCAGATGAACCCTGCATTTCCTTCAGCTGGCATGCATGCCTTTGGACTCACAGACTTTGGATTGTGGCTTAATTTTTACCAATATGGATCTGATCTTAGCATGATCTTTTTTGTGAATGCTAGCACTGTTTTGCTTTTTTTTTTTTTTTTTGCCATTTGAAACATTTCTCTTCCATCTCCAACCCTCTGCCTTATGAGTTTGTTGGTAAGGTAGGACCTGCTATTATTTGTTACCATTTATGTATATTTTGGAAGGTATGACATCCACAAGCACAATGATCATTTTTATTCATTTGAAACTTGAGCAGAATAGATATCTGCATGCTTTATGAAGTTGCTTCATATGGGAGCCCATGGGATGCCAGAAAGGAGTATTTCTTTGCTGCTGTGGGCTGAGGGTAACTGCTGCTATTAGAGAAAGGTTAGCTGTGGCACCAAGTCTCGTCAGTTTCACACAAAGAGGCCTAACTGTAGCTTCTTTTAAAGTTAAAATCTGGCATTCATAAGGCATTCATTTGGTTGTAAATGTTCAATATATTTATTTTGAGAGCAAGGACCTGGGATTGTAAACAGGTATGGTTGTGTATCAGCGTGTTGGGGTGATGCCCTCATCCAGTCTCATTGTGTACTCATTCTGTTTTTACTTGTTTTTATTTTAGTTTTATGGGATCCAGTTGTTTCCACTAACAGTTTGTTCAAGTCCTGGCCGGTACTCCTAACTTCACACTCTAGAGTCCTTGGCCTTTCCATATTCAGACTTCTTTCAGGGTAGTGGAAGTTACCAAGAGCAATTTAGTGACTTGACTGAATCGTTGCTCGTGAAAACAGTCTGGCTGGTGATTCTTTAGGACATTGGTGAGAAACCTTTGCTCAGGCTCCAAAATGTTTGTTCTTCACAAATTATGTATATTTCAGATAATTCTGTAAGTACTTTTCCTTCCCTATGAGGGTGTAGTGTTAAGACAGTTAGTGGTTTTGTAGTCTTATTAAAATGTTTAAATCCAATGTCTAATTCAGTTCTGACTACACTTTGTAGGGTTAGCATTTTATGCAGCAGGTGGGGCTTAATTGAAAATGTAGAGAGCCAAGAAATTAGGTAACTGGACAAATAATGGGTTTATATAGGCAAAACAGGCAAGCATTTCTCCACCAGTGCTTTTGAATTTAAGTTACCCAGTGCAGTGGGGGTGCTAGGTAACTCGGTGCTTGTGTTTCTGCACTTTTGAGTCTTCTTAGGCGTCAACCCCACACGGAGAGAGAATCTGTGAAGAAAAACATCTATGCTTAGTAGTAAAAATAGGCAGTTAGTTTAATTTACTCTATGGATACTGCATTCTGGAATTTGCTTACCTTGGCCTTGTCAGTACTGATGCTCTTTAGTCTATTTTGACTTTTAAAATTCGTATAACTTTTATACTTGTCTTATAACTCCTGGAATCACAGTACAGGGAGCCATGCTCCTTTTTGCTGAATTCATGATTTGATGTTACTCTTTTTCTAATTAACATCTTCTCTGTGGACCAAATACTCCAGGAGCATTACTATGCTCCTCGGCGTGTAACTGACCTGCAGTAGCCACACTGTGTGTAAGAACATATGCCAAGGAAGGTGCCAATAAATTCAAGGAGACAAGTACAGTTTTAACATACTAACCTTGGACACAGATTTTCTAGGGAGGGTTAAATGTAAGAGTGTGAAGGGTGCAGCTTCCCCACATCCTAAGTGGAATTGTAAATTTTGGGCAACATGCCTCATTTGAGTCTAAATAAACAGGATTGACTGATAGTGGTTTGCTGAAACAAGGGTTAACTGATGCCATGGATTCTAAGAGTGATCTGCGTTCTATACAAGAGCTGCTTTCCGCTGGTGGAGGCATGAAGTGGTGCCAGTAAGCACAGACGGGGAACGTTAACTGTGGTGATGGGGTTTGGCATTTCCAGTGCAGCATTATCGCCTTTCAAGTGGGCCTTTGGAGATACTTTATATATTAGCTTTTACTTTTGTTATTAAATTATAGCAGTTTCATTATAGAGAGCAAGTTTGCCTTGATTTTGTTTAAAATGACTTCTGCTCAGCTCCCAGAAGATAAAATTGACATATTTTTATAATATAAGCATACTTTTTTTGTACATTGTGTTCATTCAGTGTTGGCTTGTAGATATTAAAAAGAAAGTATTGATTTTGATTCAATAAATGTTTTCTTTCCAGCCTGGTTTGGTTTTTCATTTCTCTTAGAGCCCCTTTTTAGCATTCCTGTTTTTGCATGACAGTAATCACAACTGAAAAGACAACCCATCGCTTTTTAAAAGCGAATTTAAATTTGTAGCCACACAGTAAGGAAGCGGTGAGCTATCACATTAAGCAGTTCTAGAATATTTCCAACACTACAGCAAGTTTGCTTCCCAGGAAAAACTTGGCATTGTCTGGAGACATTGTCACATCTTCAGGGAGGGGCACTACCGAACATCTATCCAGCCCCCAGATGTCAGAGTGCCACCAGTGAGAAACCCTGACTGAGGACAAAGAATGTGTATACACTGACCAGTACATCCAGTTAGAAACTCTCCACTGCACTTGTGCATAGGTCAGGTAGGTTTGGGTGCATCTTGCCAAGTAATGTTGGTCCTAAAATAGAAAAATCAATGAGAAGAATAGGAAGAATATTTCAGGGGCACCTGGGTGGCTGAGTCGGTTAAGTGTCCCAACTTCGGCTCAGGTCATGATCTCACGGTTTGTGGGTTAGAGCCCCGCATCAGGATCTGTGCTGACAGGTTGGAGCCTGCTTGGGATTCTAGGTCTCCCTCTCTCTCGAAAACAAACTTTTAAAATAAATAGGTGTGTGTGTGTGTGTGTGTGTGTATAT